TAAATCCGCTAGGGCTTATTTATGGTAAGGTCTTATTTCAGGGAACCTGGGTATATATTCATTTTCACTGAAGAAGAAACTCGTAATTCACAGCTTCCTTAGTTGATCAGCAAGGCACGTGCTGAGGGCTTTTTCCTCTAGTCCTACTCCCTATTTGTCTTTTCTCAGTGTAACAAGATGCCCCTCAGTAATTTACCATCGAATCTTTGGTCTCGTGATGCTCCTAGAGTCTGCGACCACTAGCCTTCCCTCCTCCGGCCCTTGGTAGCCATCACAACTGTTGGAACTCTGCCTGTCCGATCAATCATTTCAGCAAAAGGATGAAAGCAGACAAGATACCAACAAGTAAAGCTACAGCGCACTTTATGAAGTGTGTATTTTTCTGATACACTATTCAAAAAAACTAGACATCACTAACCCCCTTAAGGTCTATTTAGATTAACTCTCACACTGCTGGAGGAATATTGGATTATGTCCAGTCCTCCTTGGCTTTAGCAAACAAAACTGCCTCATGAAAATTCACGGTAAAAGCTCTTTGCGTGGACCCATATGATTTCATTCCTCTGGTAAAAACCTAATGGAAAGCCTGAGTCATATGAGTAGGTGTGGGTCTAGCTTTTTAGGAAAACCACGCCAACTTTTCTAAAGTAGATTGTTATTATTTTGCCGTGCCAATTAGAGGATTGTTATATTCCAGTTCTCACCATGACTGCCAATCCTAGCGTAGGGTCAGTCTTTTAATTTTTAGCCCTCTAGGGGTAAATATTGTATTGCTCATTGGTGGTTTTGTCTTGGATTGAGTCAGCAGCCCAACTGTCACGTAACTCCTGATTCAAGCCTTCCCAATTTCAACGGCAGTTTGATTTATTCTGTGATATATGCAACAATTAACAACATCAACTTCCCGTATCTGCTCAAATATAAGTGGTCCAACCTGAAATACACTCTGTCTGCTCATCTTCTGCTATTGTATTGCTCTAAAAGCGAAGGGACCTGCACATGCTCTCGCTTACAGCCACCTCTATCAGAAAAAAAAAATGATGCACTTTTAAAAATATAAAGTTATAAATTAATATAAGTACACAATGGATTGCACAACTTATGAATATAAATAGAAACTTTAAAGAAATATGATACCAGATGAAATGAACATTTATAATAAATGCTTGCTAATCATGATGAACCCTTAGTATGATCATTAATCGTCATCTGAGGGACTAAATACAGTCCCAATTGAGTTCTCTGTCTAAGTTATAGGTAATGTAAAAACTTGTCATTCCAACTAGTCTTTTGGATATTCTTTAGATTTTTTTGGTTTTGTCAATTTTTGTTCGGTTGTCATTAGACTAACAGCATTTTTCCCTCTAATGCTCTGACAGAAAGCATGTATGCAAAAATAAAAACAGAAATTAAAACAACTACCAGAGAAAATCACCCTTAACAAAGGAAGACAGGAAAGAAGGAAACATAAAGGCCACAAACATCCAGAAATCAAATGACAACATGGCCAGTAGTAAGACCTTAATGTATCAATGATAAACTGAATGTGAATAGACTCAAATCTCCAATCAAAAGACAATGAGTGGCTGAATAGATAAAAAACCATGACCTAATGATATTCTGTCTACAAGAAACCCACCTCACCTATAAAGACACACACTAGCCTGAAAATAAAGGGATGGAATAAGATGTTCCAGGATAATGGAAACCAAAAAAGAGCAAGAGTAGCTATACTTCTATCAGTTAAAATAGATTTCAAGCAAAAACTGCGTTCTGTAACTATTTATTAGGTCCACCAAGTCTATAGTGCAGATTAATTCCATTGTTTTGTTGTTGATTTTCTGTCTGAATGAACTGTCCAATGCCGGAAGTGGAGTGTTGAGGTCTCCAATGATCATTGTATTGTGGTCTAGCTCTCTCTTTGGTTCTGATAGTATTTGCTTTATATAACTGGGTGCTCCACTGTTGGGTGTGTAAATATTTAGAATTGTTATATCCTCTTGCATTATCCCCTTTATCATTATATAATGACCTTCTTCGTCTCTTTTTGCAGTTTTTGTCTTGAAATCTATTTTAACTGATAGAAGTATAGCTACTCTTGCTCTTTGTTGGTTTCCATTTGCCTGGAACATCTTATTCCATCCCTTTATTTTCAGGCTATGTGTGTCTTTATAGGTGAGGTGGGTTTCTTGTAGACAGAATATCATTAGGTCATGGTTTTTTAATCTATTCGGCCACTCACTGTCTTTTGATTGGAGAGTTTAGTCCATTCACATTCAATTTTATCATTGATACATAAGGTCTTACTACTGCCATGTTGTCATTTGATTTCTGGATGTTTTGTGGGCCTTTATGTCTTCCTTCTTTCCTGTCTTCCTTTGTTAAGGGTGATTTTCTCTGGTAGTATGTTTTAATTTCTTGCTTTTTACTTTTTGCATACATGCTTTCTGTCAGAGGCATTAAGAGGAAGAAATGCTGTTAGTCTAATCACAACCGAACAAAAAATTGACAAAACCAAAAAAATCTAAAGAATATCCAAAAGACTAGTTGAAATACAGTTTTTACATTCACTATAATTAACAGAGAAACTCACTGTGACTGTATTTTGTCCCTCCAGATGCTGGTTAATGATCATACTAAGTCATCATGATTAGCAAAGCATTTATTTAAAATGTTCATTTCATCTGTATCATATTTCTTTAAATTTCTATTTATTCATATAAGTTGTGCAATGCATTGTGTACTTATATAATTTATAACTTTATATTTTTAAAAGTGCATCATTTTTTTTTTCTGATAGAGGTGCTTAAGCAGAGCATGTGCAGGTCTCTTCCTTAGAGAGTACAATATGCAGAATGAGCAGCAGAGTGTATTTCAGGTTGACCGTTTATATTTGAGCAGATATGGAAGTGATGGTGTGTTAATTGTGCGTATATCACAGAATAAATCAACCTGCCTTGAATGGAAGGCTTGAATCAGGAGTACGTGACAGTGGGCTGACTGACTCATCCAAGACAAAAACCACAATGAGATAACAATATTTACCCACTAGAGGGGCTAAAATTAAAAAGACTGACCCTACCTAGGATTGGCAGTCAGGTGAAGTAACTGGAAATATAATATCCTGCTAATTGGCAGGCAAAATAATAACAATCACTTTAGAAAACAGCTTGGCGGGTTTCCTAAAAAGTTAGACCCACACCTATCATATGACTCAGCATTTCATTCCTAGGTTTTTTAACCAAGAGAAATGAAATCATATGTCCACGCAAAGACTTTTACGTGAATTTTCATAGCAGTTTTGTTTGTAATAGCCAAGAGCTGGACATAATCCAAATGTCCTTCAGTAGGTGGAGTTAAATCTAATAGACCTTAAGGGGCTTAGCTGTGTCTAGTATTTAATTTGAAATATGTATCAGAAAAATACACACTTTCATAAAGTGCAGTGTAGCTTTACTTGTTGACTTTGTCTGCTTTCGCTTTGTGCTGAAATGATTGATTTGACAGCAGAGTTCCAACAGTTGTGATGGCTACCGAGGGCCGGAGAGGAGGCTAGTGGTCCGCTAGATCTAGGAGCATCACCGAGACCAAAGATTGATGGTAAAATGTATGAGGGCATCTCGTTACGCGAGAGAAAGACAAATGAGGGTAGGATAGAGGAAGCCTCAGCACAGGTGCTTGCTGATCAACTAAGGAAAGCTGTGAATTAGAGTTTCTTCTTCAGTGAAAAATTATACCAGGTTTCCCTGAAAATAAGACCTACCCATAAAATAAGCCCTAGCAGGATTTCTAAGCATTTGCACAATAGAAGCCCTACCCGGAAAATAAGACCTAGTGATGGGCGTGGCTACCCAGCGCGTCTGCACAACCCATGCATTTTGTTGCGGAGCGGTGAAGAAGATGAGCAGCCCTTCTCATCTGCCCCATGACAGCTCTATTGCTCTACTTGAGATATTGGGGCCAATGATTCTAAAGGAAATAGAGTCATAAGAAATTGAAGTTCCAGAAGAAGACAGCTTAACTATATTTGAATAAATGTAGATTGTTGTACTGTACTTAAAAAAAATAACGCATCCCCTGAAAATAAGCTCTAGGTGTCTTCTTCAGGACAAATAAATATAAGATCCTGTCTTATTTTGGGGGAAACATGGTACAAATAGCTTCATCGCCTTCAAAATAGCAGGGACTTTTTAATAGGTGGATGCTGATTATTTCTTTCAAAAAGAGCTCATTTCTAAGGTAACTTCTAAAGGAATAAACCCTTTGCCATTATTGAAGAGTTCCTTTTCTTTTGCTTTTTTTTTTTTTTTTTTTAATTTAAATCATGTCTATGAAGAACACTGGAGAGAAAGAGGAAGCAGAGTAGAAGTTTCTCGATTAACCCTGTTTCTTTGGTCTCAATCTCCACCCAGGTCAATGCAGTGCCCCAGCATGGCTTCCATTTGCCAAGCCTACCAAACTAACCAATGAGTCTGAGTTTCCTGTTGGGACATCTTTGAAGTATGAATGCCGCCCTGGCTATTTTGGAAAACCGTTTTCTATCTCCTGCCTAGAAAACTCGGTCTGGACAGGAGCTAAGGACAGGTGCAGACGTAAGTCACTCTGGACTGGGAACTCCCTTGTGTCAGTCAAATATCTGTAAGATGTCATGCAATTTGTTCAAATTTTGGGCCTGAGACACATATAACAATAAGTTTGCCCAAGATACGATGCAGGTGAGAGCTATTCTTGTAAATATATCTTCTTACTGTGTTGACTTCTTGGCACCTTCATTACAAGTTCATTTCATGAGAAACAACCATCACAAGGCATGACTGGGGGAAAAATCCCTATTCTTTAGGGGTCTCCCATTTTTCATGACTAAAATTAAGTAATGAATAACTCAGACAAGAAAGAGAAGTAGAATGGAAAATGAGGAAATGAGACAATCTCAGGCTTTGATATCTTTGAATGACAGTGTATAGCATTTTGGTAATAAATACAGTTTACATTTTTCTGGGAGGCATAATGTGGTTAGGAGAAAGATCTGGATGGGGAGTGTTTTTGAAAGTGGTGCTTAGTAGGCAGCTGACCCTGAAGCAGTCTGGTGAGTTTCTCAAGGTGGCAAAATCTGTGGAATCATCAGAACTGCATATGCTCTTCAGTAAGCTGCAGGTAGGATGGGACATTATGTACCAAAAAAAGTTTGGATTACTCTACCTGGCTCCAAAATTCTGTGTCTTTCTTATAGGTAGATCATGCAAAAATCCTCCAGACCCTGCGAATGGCATGGTGAATGTGACACAAGGCATCCAGTTTGGATCCACAATCAGTTTTTCTTGTGATAAAGGGTGAGTTGGCAGAAATGTTTCTTGGTTCAAGAATTCTAGGACAGGCGGGCATGGTGGGTCACGCCTGTAATCCTAGCACTCTGGAAGGCCAAGGCAGGAGGATCGCTTGAGGTCAGGAGTTCGAGACCAGCCTGAGCAAGAGCAAGACCTCGTCCCTACTAAAAATAGAAAAAAAAATTAGCCAGTCAACTAAAAATAGAAACAACAACAAAATTAGCCAGGCATGGTGGCTAAGTCCCAGCTACTTGGGAGGCTGAGGCAGGAGGATCGCTTGAGCCCAGGCGTTTGAGGTTGCTTTGAGCTAGGCTGATGCCAATGTACTCACTCTAGCCCAGGCAACAAAAGAGAAACTCGGTCTCAAAAAAAAAAAAAAGAATTCTAGGACAGTAATACTACCTTCTAGTCACATCTCAGAAAGAACAACTAGGCTATTATTATCTACTTTTAAAAGGCCTGGGCTCGGTCGCTTAACTCCTGATTGAAGTGAACAAAGGTATGATGTGATTAGGGGGGAAGTCCGTATCCTTGCTGGAAACCAGGGCGGTGAATATGAGAAAAGTGCAGCACTCACTGGGTGGGAAGAAAGAAAATGGTGGAAAGGTGTGGTCAAACCCACAAATCGCCCTAAGCCAGAGTAGACATTGCTAGAAGAAAGGGAAGGCCACGGAGCGGTTGCGTTAGAGAATAAACCCTAATGTTAAAGATGTATCAGTCTGCTAGAGCTGCCATAACAAAGGACCTCAAATCGGGGGTCTATAAAACAAAAGAAATTTATTCTCTCGAAATTCTGGCAACCGGAAATCCAAAGTCAAGGTGCTGGCAGGACCATGCTTTCTCCAAAGCTCCTAATGGAGAATCCTTTCCTTACCTGTTTCAGCTGTGGTAGCCCCAGGCCTTCCTTGGCCTGTGGCAGCATAACTCTAGTTTCTGCCTCTGTTGTCACATGGCCATCTTCCCTCTGTGTCTGCGTTGTCACGTGGTGTTCTCCTCTCTGTGCTTGTCTGGGTCCAAAGCTCTCTCTTTTTATAAGGGCACTAGTCATATTGACTTTGGGGCCATCCTAATGACCTCACCTTAATTGATGACATCTACAACGACTCAGTTTCCAAATAAGATCACATTCACAGAGACTAGGGGTTAGGATGTCAACATACACTTTTGGGGAAGCAATTCAATCCCTAACAGAGCCCTCTCTGAAAATGTCGAGCATTTGACATTCCTTATTGATCCATCCATAAGGAAACAACAGTCTTGAGCAATTCTATATACCAAATGTATACAGAACATTCCACCCAGTAGCAGCAGAATGCACATGCTTTTCTAGTGCACATGGAACATTCTGCAGAATAGATCATAGGTTAGGCTACAAATTCTTCTTAGTGAATTGAGAAAATTAAAATCCGATATCAAGCACCTTTTCCAACCTCAATGGTATGAAACTAGAAATCAATAACAAGAGGAAAATTAGAAAATTCACAACATTGTGGAAATTAAACAACACACTCCTGGACAACCAATGAGTCAAAGAAGAAACCAAAAGAGAAGTCCAAAATATTTTGAGACAAATGAAAATAGAAATACAATATATCAAAACGTATGAAATGTTGCAAACGTAGTTCTAAGAGGAAAGTTTATAGCAATGAACACCTATGTTAAGAAAGAAGAAAGTTCTCAAAAAAACAACTGTAGCTTACACCTCAAACTAGAAAAAGAAGAACAGACTCAGCTCAAAGTCAACAGGAGGAAGGAAATAATAATAATAAGGAAATAATAATAAGGAAATAATTAGTAGTAGAGCATCCATAAATGAAATAGAGACTAGAAAAACAATAGAAAAGATCAATGAAACTAAAAGTTGTTTTTTAGAAAAGATACACAAAATTTAAAAACTGCTAGCTAAACTGAGCAAAAAGAGAGAAGACTCAAATTAATAAAATCATAAATGAAAGAGGAGACATTACAACTGATACTACATAAATAAAAAGGCTTATGAGAGACTACTATGAACACTTACACACCAACAAATTGGATAACCTAGAAGAAATGGATACATTCTTAGAAACATAGTTTTCTAAGACTGAATCAAGAAGAAATAGAAAATTTGAACAGACCAATAATTAATTAGGAGATTGAATCAGCAATCAAAAAAATGTATACATGTGAAAGTTTCCTGGAACTCAGGAAGCTTATGATATCTTTTTGAAAACTGAAGCTTGTAGGAAAGAACTATGATCGACCTTAGATGTATATAAAAGTGTGTCATAAGGTAACAAAGAAGATAAATCCCATCCTGCTGAGAAGGCATGAAGAAGAAAGTGGAAAATGTCCTTCTGAATTCTCCGAGATGGTAATCTCTGGGAAGTGTCTATTTGAGCAGGTGGATGACCCCTGTGTTAAGAATATGACATTCCTTGTTCTCTGTCTCCAGGTTCATTCTCGTTGGTTCTTCTTCTGCTACATGCATCATCTCGGGCAATACTGTCGCTTGGGATAACAAAGCACCTATTTGTCGGAGTGAGTTGAAATATTCTTTTCTGTTACTTTTACCAATAAATTCTAACCTTCTCTGGAATTATAAAAAATTTTAATCAAATTCCTTTTATGCAGTCTGTCCTTCTGACAGCTGAAGACAGCTGTAATGTTTTCAAAATTCCTATGAGGATGGCCAGGTGCAGTTGGTCATGCCTGTAATCCTAGCACTCTGGGAGGCTGAGGCGGGAGGATTGCTTGAGGTCAGGAGTTCGAGACCAGCCTGAGCAACAGCGAGACCCCATCTCTACTAAAAATAGAAAAAATTAGCCGGACGTGGTAGCTCGTGCCTGTAGTCCCAGCTACTAGGGAGGCTGAGGCAGAAGGATTGCTCGAGCCCAGGAGTTTGAGGTTGCTGTGAGCTAGGCTGACGCCACTGGACTCTAGCCTGGGCGACACAGAGAATCTGTCTCTAAAAGAAAAAAAGAAAGAAAATGGAAAAGAGTAGAGGAAAACTCTATAACTCTACAACAATATGATTAAAGAACTATTTAAAATGAAAGGAACACGTATTTTATTAATAAGTGCATGTGTTTCGAGGAAATAATGGAAGTGGGAAAGGCAGAACACATACTATTTATGTCCACCTAAGTTACAACTTTGTAAACTTTGTATTTCAATACGCTTGTTTTCTCTTTTTGCAGAAATTCCCTGTGAGCCGCCCCCAGCCATCGCTAATGGAGAGTTGGTCAGCAGTGCAGACTATTTTGAGTACGGGATGGTGGTGACCTACCGCTGCAGACGTGGGAGCAGAGGGGGAAAGGTGTTTGACCTTATGGGCGAGGCCTCCATATACTGCACCAGCCTGGACGGTCGAGTCGGCGTCTGGAGCGGCCCTCCCCCTCGGTGCATCGTGCCTAACAAATGCACGCCTCCAGACGTGCAAAATGCAGTGATGGTACCTGACAAGCGAAGCCTGTTCTCCTTAAATGAAGTTGTGGAGTTTAGGTGTCAGCCTGGCTTTGTCATGAAGGGACCCGCCAGAGTGCAGTGCCAGGCCCTGGACAGATGGGAGCCAGAGCCGCCCCGCTGCTCCAGGGGTGAGTCTGCCTGAGGCCTGGCAGGGTCTACAGATTGCATGCGTTGCCCGAGGGTCGGGAGGTCAGTGTGAGTTCTGAGGGACGGGTGGGTGCTGAGCAAGGTGGGGGAGTAGATCTTCTTGGAGGGAAACAGGAAATTAAGAATGTATGGATGTTTATACACTTGTGTACGTGCGCGTGTGCGCAAATTGAGAAGCAAAGCTAAATCTTGGCAAGAAATGCGATGTTTCCTTGGAATTCTCATAAACAGGTCTATCCATTACTCTTGGGCATAATAATAATTGCTAATATGTAATGAGTGATTCCTCTAGTCAGGCACCATAATACAAGCTATGTGTGCATTTAAGTCTTAAAGCTATGAGGTAGTGACTATTCTTTCCATGTTCTGCAGAGGAAATGCGTCTTATAGAGAGGTTAGATAACTGTCCAACGTGAAATAGACACTAACCTGCAGACGAGAGACTGGAAGCCAAGCCTGCCTGACTCCAGAGCCTTGGCTCTGCCAGTCAGCATCAAGTCAGGAAACCAAAACCCAGTCTAGGGGATCACACCTGTAATCCCAACGCTTTGGGAGGCAGAGTCAGGAGGATCATTTGAGGCCAGGAGTTTGAGACCAGCCTGAGCAAGATTGAGACCCTGTCTCTACCAAAAATAGAAAGAAGTTAATTGAACCCCTCAAAATACATAGAAAAAATTAGCCAGGCATGGTGGCGCATGCCTGTACTCCCAGCTACTCGAGAGGTTGAGGCAGGAGGATCGCTTGAGCCCAGGAGTTTGAGATTGCTGTGAGCTAGGCTGACGCCACGGCACTCTAGCCCTGGCGACAGAGTGGGACTCTGTCTCAAAACAAAACAAAACAAAACAAAACAAAAAACACAACACATTGAGGATGCCTCAGTTCTAGGCACAGTTCTGCACTCTGTCAGTTCTATTCCCCTGTACCCCATGTATGTATTTAGTTATCAACAAAATAAGGGGATTAGCCTGCCTCTTTAAAGAAAATATATATATATATATACTTATGATTTTCCTTGCCAGTTTACCTTTGAGGATAAGTTATGTTCACCCAGCTAACTGTACTTCGGTTCTCTTTCCCCAGTATGTCAGCCACCTCCAGAAATCCCACATGGTGAGCACACACCAAGCGACAAGGACAAGTTTTCCCCTGGACAGGAAGTGTTCTACAGCTGTGAGCCGGGCTATGACCTCACAGGGCCGGCGTCTCTGCGCTGTACACCCCAGGGAGACTGGAGCCCCGGAGCCCCCACCTGTGCAGGTGCCTGGACTCTCATTTGGGTTTCCAGACCACTCTCTTTCTCCCTCACATGGGAGTCTTATTCCCGCTTTGTTTTGTTTTTTTCCTCCTAGTGAAATCCTGTGATGACTTCCTGGGCCAACTCCCTAATGGCCGAGTGCTGGTTCCACTTAATCTCCGGCTTGGGGCGAAGGTGTCCTTCGTTTGTGATGAAGGGTGAGTGTGAGCTCGCCTGACCCGCTGGGCATTGCAATTGGGGTTTGGAATTAGTCCAAGAAAGAGAGGTTTGGTGTGGCTTAAATACACACACACACACACACACCTATACATGTATTCACAGAGATTACCTTTTGAAAGTGTATAGGAAGCAAGAGAAGGAACAAGTAAAACGAATACCATGAGATATGAAGAAGAAGCCGAGACATATGTTAAGTGGCAAGTTCAAAGGCATATATATATATATAGGGGACACATTAAGTGAAAAAAAATTATATTTTCCAAGCAGGAAGGAATATATGAGTAATTTGGAGAGTCTCAGAAAAAAAATCTCATAGGTAGTGAAATGCTTATTACAAATAGCTAATTTCATTTAAGAATCATTTCAGGGAATTTTTTTTTTAAACCATCAATAGTAAAATACATAATGAGAGTGAAAGTATAAAAATAAACACTGTTTAAAACCTAATCATATATCATCTGGTAAGTAATGGGCTGTGGGCTCTGAAATGGGAGCATGATGGCTGATGTCCATCCTTTGGGGATGGCTATGAACTTGTTTATGGGAATCTCGTGCCCTTCACAGTGGTGTGTATCTCTACGTCGGAGCTATCAGCCATGGGCGGAAAAAAAGCACACGCTCTTGAAATGTTCCAAAGAATCCTTGGTGGGCTCCAGTAAGATTTCGGCAGGCATCAGGGTTCACATTAAGAAGTTTGGACGATGTCATAAAAAGCCATCTCTGTTCTTTCCTTTTTCTCCTGGAATATTCGAACTTACTCTTTAATAGCCCAACATGCTATTGTGAGCCCTCTTCACGGCCATCACAAATGCAGGGACAAAAAGACAGTCCCTGTTCTCTGGCCAGTTATTCTCCGTGTTTCCAGTGCAAACCCGGAGCTGTTTTCCTTGTCCTTCCAGCGTCAGAGTTAGAAGGACGTTGCAGCGGAAGACTGGCTTTGCGGTAATGACAACGCGTAGATTTGTCAGGGTCGTCAGTGAGACTCTGAGTATGGGTCCGGGGTCAAGGAGATGGTGGCTATGCCGTGACTGCCTTCTTCACTCCAAGCTAGGACTACTGTGGGACCAAGTTACCACGCTGTGCCATTCTATATTGCTCCCTTCCCCGAGGAGGCTGAGATTTTTCTAGAATGACTTGGCCTCTGCACCTCTGCCACCTGCTGGCTTCAGGTCGTCAGGATCCCGAGATTTTTGGCTGGGGCCTCAGAGTGTGACTTCGGTGGCCTTTTGACTGAAACAACTCACCTATTTACTACCATTTTCTTCTTTAGGTTTCGATTAAAAGGAAGTTCCGTGAGCCATTGTATCTTGGTTGGAAGGCAAAGCCTTTGGAATAGCAGCGCTCCTGTTTGTGAACGTGAGTAAAAGGAGTAACATTTCAGGCCAATCTTGCCCCTTAACCTGTTTACTATTTTTGACCCATGGCTTCCCCCAGTGTGGCTCTTCTATTTTCTAGTCTGAATTATTGCTGAAGAATTGCTTATTTCAATAATATCTTGTTGTGAATCAATGTGTGCATCCTATCTGATCAGTCTCTGTCATTTTGAATTCTGTGTTCTGTTGTGAAAAAAGCTATGGTAGCTTTCCTCTAGATCCAGAGAGATTAGAAAATGTGAAGCTTTGACAAATTTTTCTTCCTTCCTTTCATTTGTCTTTTAGTCCTTCCTTCTGTCTGTCCTCAGTCTACCCTTCTCTCACTCTCCTGTTCCTTCCTTTCTTCCTTCTTTCTTTTGAGTTTTCTTCCCTCATCAAGGTACCATCACTCTATAATGTTTGTATATATTTGCTAATGCACAATTAAATGTGCATTTATTCAATTCATTATTTATTGAGCACATGCTATGTGCCTGATATTCACCTAGGCCCTGGAGTTATAGCAGTGAACAAGATGAGCTAATTCCCTGTCTGTCCCCATGTTGTTTATACTCAGGTGGAAAGATGGATAAGAAAAAAAAATAAACAAATCAAATGCTATGGACATAATAGATCTGAGCACAAAGGAATGAGGGAAAAGTAGGGATTAGCATTAGAGAGCGTAGGTGGTTTGACTGCTTAACCTCTCAAAACATGTACCTAAATAATTTACACTGAGAGATTTATAAATAATGAGTTGATTTTTAAAAGCGAGTCTCATGTTCAGAGTCACTACTGATTTCTCCTGGTCTACCCATTTATGTTTTCCCCAACAGAAGATAGGACTTTGCTTCATTTCTTGATCCTAAAGATTGGAAAATATGAGTTTTCATTTTAACAATCAAATTTTACTAAAACATTTGCCTTGCTAGAAATCTACTTGGACATCTTATGGTGCTTTTTATAATTAAACTTTATAAGAACAGAAATTATATACATTAATAGATCCTTGCTGTCCGAGCAACCCAGTGCTCCTTGAAGTGACATGGCAAATGGTGTTCTACTGTCTTGTATTACAGCTCAGGTACTCATTGTACCACTGAAGCTTTTTCTTATTTTTCACGACTCTTACTAGTTAAAGTAGCTCCTTCCAAATTCCAACCCTAATTAAAAACACCAATTTGAAGTAAGGAGGGGAGTAATCTAAACAAATAAGCAGATGCCAGAAAAAAAAATTAACAATCTGAAGCCTGACAAGAAAGTAAAGAGAGAAAATAAATCATAAACAGACCCAGAAATTTTAAAAAGCAAAGCAGTGTGAAACCATTTAGAGTTTTTTTTTAACAACGATCTGTCTATGTTTTAACTCTTTGTGGCAAGTGCTAAGGTAGTGATTAGATTAACGGTCAATATAAATAAGTAATCAAGGAAAGGTTTCATCTTTTTAAGGTGATTGGCACACAGGCACACATCTTAGAAATACTTCCTGGGACTTAGAGGACAAAGACCTTGTTGGTGGCTCTTCAGCACTCTGTCCCCAGGGCCCTGACGAGTGGCTGACACAGAATAAATGCTGAATTAATCTGTGGTGACAAATGAGTCACCCTCTAAAATGGCTGTTTTTCTTCTGTAGAAGTTGTGGTACTTAATCAAAGGTGTAAAGTTTCTATTATCCAGAAAACTTAATTATCTGGAAGAAACAGGATAGGCAAATTTTTTTTTGTACTTTTGCAAGAAACTCTGATGGAGATCTCATTTCATCTGGTTCATCTCTTCAAAAGCTTGATGCCTACTGTCATCTCCTTCGCTTTTTTTAAAACGGCACCAATCATGGCAGAATACCTCTGATAAAAACTCCCTGATGAAACTGAGAACTCTTACCTTCTTTTCAGCAATCTTTTGTCAAAGTCCTCCAGCCATCTTCACGGGAGACACACAGGAAAACCTCTGAAGTCTTTCCCTTTGGAAAAGCAGTAACTACACATGCGACCCCCACCCAGACTTGGGGGCGACCTTTGACCTCATTGGGGAGAGCACCATCCGCTGCACAAGTGACCCAGAAGGAACGGAATTTGGAGCAGC